TTTAGAGTGAAACTAGTGTGGAGCTTGACAGTGAGATCTATTTTAAATATAACAGATACATAGAATGACGAGTTTCTGACCCAGAATCAGTGGTAAAACTGTGGAATTAAGAAATTTTCCACACAGTCTGATGAGGATATTGACTGTATGACGTACTCTGGCACTACTTTGGTGCAGGATCTTATGTTAAGATGAGGTGAGAGGTTCCCCCATCAAAAATAGACACAATTGAAAAATTACATGTTTATTTAATTACTTATATAGTTATTTAAAATGTAATTAGACAGTTCACTGAGACATTGTTATTTTTTTAAACACAATTAACGACTCTGATGCCCATGCAGGGCGAATGTGAAAACAGTTCTCTTCCACTATTTCCTGCCTTATCCACTGGAAGAAATTCACAGGGAAACGCTCGGGTCAGAAAAGCAACTCGGATCTACGTCATACTGTAAATTAGCATTCATGATCTCACCCGTCTTGGCTCGCAACGGGGAAGGCTGTTGTTGATTTACCATCTGCTAGTAGAAGCTAACTCTTAGCATTAGCAACATGGCAGAACTTCCTCAGGCTTGCATTACTTAAAGGCCATCTTTCATTTTAAACACATGTTGAAGTGCTTATATAGTAATATGCCTAAACTTTACATTTTCATTGAATAAAAGGAAGATATTTGAAAATAAATGAGTTATTAATGATCCATTTCTGCTTACCTAGCTAATCCGGTTTAAAACAGCGCCTCTAGCTGGAAACTGGAAGTGACGCACACGGAGGAAAACATTTCTGACTCTGCTAAGCAATGGATTCACAGCAGCAGGACGAGGCGCCAGAATTTGAACACCAATTTACAGTTATTTATAATACTGAAGGTGCACAGCCATACAGTTTTGAGCCAGCAGCAAGAGGGAAAGAAAGAAACAAACAAAGAAAGAAGGAAAGAAACAAAGAAAACAATATTTTCTATTGCACCTCTCAATATAAAAATCACGAGGCCCTTCACAAAAACAAAAAATCATAAATATGAACTTTTTATTAAAAAAAATTCTAAAATATGTTTAAAATGAGAAAAAAATAGTTTTAATTCTGATTAAAATTTTAAGGAAAGGGAAAGAGAAAAGGAATTAAGGAGGCACAACATAAATTTTGCAGAGAGGTTGGAGGCAGTGGAAGAGTTTTGCTGCTGTTAGCCAATCAGAAACGAGATGTCTGAATATCATGAATATTAATGAGACTCCAAATCCAGCTGTTTTCTGCACCCTTCTCACCTGGCTAACCTCTACTTCCTGAAACAGGAGCGCCAGAGCCTTTTTTCTAAAGAGAACATCTAAAAAGGCATTATTTCATACTAGAGACCACACAGGGTATCTGCAGGTTTAAAGGAGCCAAATTTAAGACTTTTAAGACCTTTGTAAGGCCACTTTGACCAAATTTAAGCTATTTTTTTAATTAAATTTAAGCTATAGTTTCCAGCTATTGCCTGGAACCGGTGCTAACCACATCGTGAATGTGGGGATTAGCCATCCAGTTACCAATAATGTTGCACTTCCCCATGGCGAAAACTCCCACTAGCATGCTCATCTAAAAATAGCCCCCTTTCACAACCAACCGAATGTGTACCGTTCCGCTTACGCCAACGTCGTACACAAAAAATGCTGAACACTAACTAGAAATTCACAAAAAATTTATAGAAATAAAAGAATTTTGTTTAGTGTGTCTTTGGTAATTTAAGACCTTTGGAAACTATATTTAAGGATCATTTGTCATTTTTAAGGATTTTTAAGGCCTTAAATTTGGAAAAGCAAATTTAAGACATTTTAAGACTTTTTAAGGACCCGCGGATACCCTGCCACAGCAGATTTTTTTGAAAAAATAAAAATTTAAAAAATGAGTGAATGACAACTTTCGTTAGCAGTAGCTCAGCAGGTTGTCCAATAATCGGAAGGCTGAAGGATCAATTCTGGCTCTGACCAGAGAATGCTACTTGTGTTGTGTCCTTGGGCAAGACACTTAACCTCCTTGCCTGCTGGTGGTGGTCGGAGGGAACGGTGGCGCCTGTGTTTGGCAGGCCTTGGCTCTGCCAGTGCGCCCCAGGTCAGGCATCGTAGCTCACCCTCACCAGCGTGTGAATATGTGTGTGAATTTGTGGAAAACTGATTGTGTTGTGAAGTGCCTTGGGGGGCTGTAAAACTCTAAGAAGGCGCAATACAAATGCAGTTCATTTACCATTTATTGTATGGTCATGTTTGACCTTCCATACATCAATTGAATTAGTGAATTAAATAGCTCATTTTAAATACTTTTTGATTTTGATGGGTACTAAAACTTAAATATCTGGCTTTATTTATGTTTGATAGCATGTTAGTGACAAATTGAAACATTATTCCCATAAAAAAGGCTTAACTACAATTGAAAGGATAGCTTGTAGAAGCTAACCCTATGCCCTGAATCATTACATCACACCAGCAGAAATCAGCTCTGATCTGGTTCGTCTCTCTGGGCAAAAACAGAGAGATAAAGAGCAGGTCCCTTTTTATGGACAACAAAAATAAATGTCATTCATTCATATGACAGCACACCTAATCCAGGGTGAGAACAATGTTGCTGTCTGTCAGATGCAGTTTCACTAATCCCTCCAGCAACTGATGCAGGATTAAATAACCATCAGACAATTCTGACTTCTGATCATTCAGCACCTAGAGAAAAGCTGACCCCGTGTCAGTGCTGCCACCAGCCCTGAGCTGATTTAAGGGAATTTGGCACCAGGTCTACAAATCACCAGTTCTTATTAAGGTCGGCTCAATGGAACGCACCCAGCCACTAAGAAACACGCTCACAATGCTGGTGTGAGCCGACGCTTCGGAGAGGAAGCCCGGGGGATCAGTTAAGTAAATAAACAAGAGGTGCAAAACAACAAAGGACAGGACTGAAACAGAAAATCTCTTTGTAGCAATTCAACTCGTGTTTCCAGAGTGACGGCCCAACAAACCCAACAGTGTTTTCGGCACCAACAGCCTGTTAGGGTTAGTCTAACCCTAACCTCAGACAATAGATGCAGATGTGGCCCTGCAGCAAACAAGGTCCAACACAGTGGCCTGATCCATCAACTTCAGTGAAGCCTAGCATGGTCTGTGCTCAATAGCCGAAAGACAAGAGGAAGAGGGGAATGACGTGAAAGGTGAGCCGGACCGTATTGTGGGCAGGCGTTAGACCAAGAACACGAGCAGCCCTCTGAACAAGCTGTAGAGCACAGCTGTAGGTGGAACATGATGCTGGATGTCTGGAGGTCAGGATGGCGACGCTGCAGCTTTTACACGCACACACACACACGCACGCATGCACGCACGCACACACACACACACACACACACACACACACACACACACACACACACACACACAGTTCTGGGCCTATGTAAACACATACATGTTGTTTTTAATCGAGCTTTGTCTTGTCCTACTTATTTTGTTTCCATAACTGTTTGTCTCCCTGTTTCTCTGTCCCCACCCTCAACTTTCTGTTTTCTCTTGTTTTTGTTATTTGTCTTGTCTTTCCCTGTCCACTCTGCTGTCCAAATTGCATGTGGCCTGTCACAGACAGACATGATATTTAACTAAGATCACCCATTCTTTCCACCAAAATTGTTAGAAGAGGGCAGATCTTCTCATTTCCCGTCTGGCCTAATGTTAAAAGACCGATGTCAGTGGGCTGTGGAAGTTTGCTGTAAAACACCACCACCTACATATCACTACACGGGTAAAAAAAATAAAATCAAAATGCTACTGTGGATGATGCATGAGGAGGTTGTGAAATAACCATGTTCTCTTCTGATTAAAAAGGAAGGAAGATCCCCGTGGGAACATCCTGAAAATAAACTGTAGACGACGTGAATCTAGACTTGTATTTAAACAATGATGGTGGACGTATATGAAGAGGATCAGTTCTAAACTTTAAACTTGCAGATAGGTGCTGATTTTTTGTGTGGAGGATGTGCTATAACAATTTAAAGCAGAGGCATCACAAATCAAACCTGCACTGGTGAGATAATCCTCCCAACTGAACAGTCAAGGTCAGCTGCTCTAAACTTCAAAGAGAACCACATTTCACACACTCGACTCCCACAGGCCAAGTCCTTAACCAGTCAACTCTCATCACTGGCTAATTAAAGGATGATCCCTCCAGAGGAGGACTCACATCAAATCCATAATAAAGGCACAGCTTGGATTTTATGGTTTCAATGGTGGTATTAGATATGGTTCATAAAAGTAACCAAGTATGGTATGGCAAGATAATTTATCATTGAACAGTTCAAAAATTTTGCCTGTCAAATTCAACATTTCAGCTTTCAAAAGCATGTTCTAGACGTGACTAAATTAAAACACAAACGTGTTACTAGTACAAGTTACCAGTATTTATGTGAAATACATTTCAGGCATAACTGGGGAGCAACAATGTTGTCTGAAATACCTTTAATTAAATCTCAAGAGCTTGAAGTGAATTTAAACTCATGATTAGTGAAGTTTCCTCTTTTAAAACAATTTCTGAAATCCCAGATTTTTACAGTTTTATTAAAGAAAATGGATAAAAATGGTGTCACTTGTTCTGGGATGAGTAACAAAGACCCTTTCTTGATTCCTGATTCTTTTTTTTAATGAAAAGAATCAAACTAGGCAGATGTGCATGCGTATCTACTCTACTAATCCTGAGTGCTGACAGAAACCTCCTCAACATCAGATCAATTATTATCACTATTCTAACAACATGTCAGAAAAACATGTTCAAAATGGCTCTAATTAAAAAAAAAGGATGGCCTTTAATACATTCTTTTAAAATACTAATAACGCAACTGTGCAGATCACCAGAAATCTAACTGTATTATTTTATATTTACTCAAATTATGATAGAAATGCTCAGCTTAACGTGCATCTTCTGTTTTAGTGCCAAAATAACTCAACTCAAAGTGAAAGGGGAAGAAGAGGAGGAGTAACAGTGGTGTTCCTTACCTTGTTGTAGTAATGGAGCTGAACAGAGTGCCACTGGCCATCGCTGACACCACCTGAGACGTAGGGAGACACCGTGGTCTTCGTCTCACCTGGATGACGAGTAGAACCGAGGAGGAACAAAAGTCCAGAAGTTCATTAAGATCCAGTGTTTTACAAAACTTCACTGGTTCTATAGAAAAACATTCAAATGTTCTTGTTTCAGAACAACACCGAACTAAACGTAAAAAAACTCACATTTATAAGCACATTCTCACTCCCAGCACGTCAAACACAAACGCTTGGTCAGCCACCCTCCGCGTCAAAGCCCTGACGCCAAAAGTGCCCTTTTTCGTCACTTATGTACGAAAAGGGGTTTTTCCCTTTTCTGACTGCGGATCCCAATGCAGCGTAAAACTGACGCAATGGGATGTCTGCAGCCGGGCACCAAACGAGCTCATTTAAAACAATAACAATCTTACTAGTCAGAGTTAAAAAGAGCTCCTTAGAGCTGCAGGTTGCAGATCCAAGTCTGAAGAATAAAAGACACATCTGAGCTCAGAAATGTTGGATTTTGGACGAGGACCAATGTTTCAAAAGGAGTGAAATAAGACAAACACCAAACAGAAGAATGTTTGAGGTTTTGCTTTTCCAAAAGCAACAATCAAATTTAAATTTCCCTTCAGGGATGGGATCAACACATCTCATGAGCACCAGGAAATGAGCGAACCCAGCAACCCTCAGAAGGGAGGATCAGTGTTTTCATTCACAAACTAGATTGCATTAACAAATCTCTCGCTGGAGGCTCACATCTCGGTATTCTTCCTTATTCAGTTTGAAATTAGAAATCATCCTGGAAAATAAGCACAAGATCTTTAAGGATGAAAAAAAAATATCCAGTTTCCCTGAGTGACTGGGAATCCAGCTGTGGCTGAGTTTCTTATAGATTAGCCAATTGCAGATGAACAATCAGAGACTTTGTAAAATTAGACATAATTTTTGTAAGCTAAGAGGAAAGAGTAAGCATATTTCACAGTTAATTTACTTTAAAGACAATCATCTTGGCACGAATAAACACTAAACACTCATCCATCACCTGTTGCATCAGTGGATGTCAGTGGGGAGATAGGAGTCACAAAACACCAGATTTACTGAGGGTTTGCTCTGTTTGCCAAAGGAGACTAAGATTCTAAAAGTGCATGAGAAAGATTTGAAAAATCTGCTGCACAAGGATCAAAGCCACTTCTTCGCTTTTTTTCTCTCATTAAGCACAACTACGTTCGATGACTCATGTGTCTTCTTATTTAATCGTTTCACAGTTTTGAAGTGAGCCACGAGGACTTGGCCTCGCTCCAAACCGGCTTCACACAACATAATCATATTAGGCTGGATTCCTCCGTGCACGGTGCCATGGGAAAGTGACCCGAGTGTGAACAACAACAGTTGCAAACACAAGGAATGTGTGTTTGATCTGCAGCCCAATGGTTACACCTAATAGCACTGACTCTGGGTATATTTGGAGACCGCACCTGAATGCATGAACATGAGTGAATGACAACTGAAATAATTACATCTGCATCAGTGCATGCAAAAATAGAAAACATACCTCCATTTTCCCACCTCATTGTGACATTTATAAGCTTACAGTTACTTTGTAAGGACTCAAACTGGTCTAACCTCCAGAGAAGGTGAGCTGAATTTGCTCGTTGGCGATCTCCAGGGCGATGAAGTCGTGTTTCTCGTTAAACCTTCCATTATAGAGAAGCAGAGCGTTTCTTTCCCTGGTAGCAAACCTACAAAAGACAGAATAATATCTATTTTTTTAAAGAACATTCAGGTCTGTGTCGGTAAAAGGTCTGCTCCAAACCCATGTTTCCTGTCACGTTTCTGGATAACTTTCCAACTCAAACAGAGCAGGGTTGAAGGGTTGAAGCCATTATTTTATAATAAAGATTGCTGAGGAAAAGTGGGTAAAGGGTGTGCACCTCATGGGGGAAACTGTTTCCCTGTCTGAAAAGATTCATGAGTGGTATCCTCAAATAATTAATGTGTGTTTAAGACGAGGAAAATTTTTTATGTTTGGAGTGTAAGGTGAGGGCAGAGAAGTCAGCCGACAGATGCCAGCGAGGCTAGGGGGGCAGGAAGTCAGGATGGCTGCAGCCAAACACTGATAAGGGAAACATCACACAGCCTTTCCTGTTTCCACCCCACCGTAAACCGACTCACCCTGCTGCCGTCGATGAATTCCAACTCTCAGACTCACCTAACAGCAAAACAAGTTGTTGAATTTGCTTTTCTTAACTGTGTGCCGGTTAAAACTTGCTCAGCTGATTCTTTCTGCCTCCAGCAGTTTAATTGAGGGTGTGAGAAACAAACCTAGTTAAGCTGGTGTGGTGTGCGCTGCCTTCTCTGCTCCTATAAACGTGTCTGCAGAGGAGGGAACAGAGACACAATGGAAGTGTGTGCACATCTCGGCACGCCCAAACTGACACACTTTAGCTGACCCAACTCGGTTTAAAGTACGTTTCCCAACATGCCCGCTACATGTGTCACAGTTCTGTTTCTATATTTGCAGAATTAAAAAAATGCTTTAGTGAGTAAATCTCATCCCAGTTAAAAGAAAAAAATACTTAAAGGGTTATCGATGCTAGATTTGTTAGCTGCAACAATTGGCAAAAACAAGCTAACGGGCGCGTTTTGGCATGACTAATATAGAATATGTCTTCAAGTTACTTTCTTTTCAGTGTTTCTGTCAAAAACAATAGAAACAATTAAAAAGTTGAGCTGACATTTTTTTTCTATCATTAGGCCACACTCATCATTAGCCAGTTTATCACCTAAACCTGTTTAACTACACTTGTAAATAAATGTTGGTCTATCCATGCTCCATTGTAACTTCCAGTAGGTCTACCATTGGCCCAATTAGGTCAGGCGAATCACAGTGCTCTATGTTTGTAGAGAGACGCTGGGCGGACTACAACAGATACAAACTACAAACATGGCGTAGGGCGTCGGCTCAGGAATGACACTCATTTGAAACCGCTTTGGCATCAACTTTAGATGATTTAGAGTTGGGTTTTTTTTAGACATGAGAAGACATACTTTTTTTTTTCAATTTATTTTCATTTATTGTCATTAAAATCAAATACAAAACTAAATTACTAAAAACCAAAATAAAAAGGGGACAGAAAGAAGAAAAACTTATGTTATCTGCCCCTTTAAACTAAAATAACATTCATACAAATGAAACAACAGTATTGTTCTTAATTAATTTAAACAATTTAGTTTCTGGACTGGTTGGCCAACATTCGTTTCACCTGGTAAGTGACAATGTGTAGTTTTTACTGTTAATCTCAGGAAATATCCATCACAATGTTGTTGAAAATGAATTAAATGATGCCCAGTTGTTGAAAAATATTGGAGGCTTTGTAACATATAAACATAAAAGTCGGGTCTAAAATAAATGGGAGCGGGTCTAAGGGTGTTTCTCAATGTCAAGGAACCTCGCCTTGATGTCTTGGTCCTGCCCCGGTTGCCAAGGCATGTTCCAATGTTCATGTTCTACCAAGGCATTTGTTTTCCGTTTGTTAGCCGTTAAGCCAGCTGATTGAGGATATGTCATGAACTCCTCCTCTGCGGGCCTGGCTGGCACTGCACTCCATTTCCCAGCATCCCTGTCACCGACGCTACCCGTTGAAGTCATCCCGCTGAGCCTATTTAAGGACCTTTCACAGCTGAGCCGGCACTCAGTCATCATCTCATGATAGACGCCAACCCATTCTAAGACAACTAAGCCTAATCTGCCAACTCTGAAAACCATCCGGGAAGAGAACTTCCCACGCTGTAATCAGTCACGACCAAACACCACTCTCTCCGCGCCTGGGTCTCAAAGCCACACTCCAGCTCAGCCGATCGCTCCTGACAGGATACAAGGGAGGTGTCTTGTAGCCTAGCCTTGGTCAAAAATTTTCCAGAATATAGCGCACAATTTTCACAAGGATGGCGGATCAGAAGCCGGTAGCTACTTCCGAGGCAAATTTCCAGTTTTATTGTAAGTTAACTAATTGTAGGTATCAGATTGATGTCTAAAATGTTTTTTTTTTTTTTTTATATCCAAAGCAGTTAGCTGTGGTTGGTTAATAGTTGCAGCTTTGGGGGCTAGCAGGTAGTAACTTGCTTATGTCATGGTCTGCGTCCTGCGTCTCCCTCATGTGTCTCCTTGTGTTCCTAATGTCTCCTTGTCTGCATCCCTCCTCATGTGCCTCCTTGTGTTCCCCAGGCCACTCCAGGTATTTTCCCCTTAGGTGTCCCCCCCAGGTTTCAGCGTCCCTGTGTGTCCCCAACCCCCTCCAGGCTCTCTAGGTTTCCCTTACGTTTTTCCTTAGACACATTTTATCATTAGTCTTCTGTTAAGTGTTTTATCTAGTCTGTTTCCTCCCTCTAGTTCATTTTGCTCCCTTCCCCATTTTTAGGTCTGGTTTCCTCCCCTGCTCTGTTGTGCTCCGCCTCTGTTTATTGGTCTCACCTGTGCACAATTCCCTAATCACCCAGCCCCTGTGTGTATAACCCTGTCTCAGTGTGGTTGTTGGTCCATTGTTTGTGTCAGCGTTTTCTCTCCCCTCTCTATGTATCTGGAATTTCTCTAGGTCTCTTGTGTTTTTGGATGTTCCCAGGTTTTGATTCTTGGATTTACCCCTGAATAAAGGATTTTTACATTTTCACTACTCCTGCCTTGTGTCATCCTGGGTCTGCATCTTGGGTCCTAACCTCCCCCAACTCACAGCGTGACAGCTTACATATTTAAGTAAACCAATATATACACAATTTAACAAGTAAACAGCTTATTATGCATTTATATAAAAACTTATTTGTACCAAATATAATGCTACCTCACCACAGCAGTCACGTGATGTAAGTCTGTTCCATTTCAGCAGTTTTTTTGACCAAGAAAGGACAGTGTCCTTGTAAACAAGGCACCTGGCTTTGCAAGACATTGCCTTGTGAGGCCAGGTGCCTTGACATTGTGAAGCGGTCTTCATCTCTGGGCGATAGACGCCATGTTTCCTTCAGTGGGAGCCCATGAGGACCACAAAAATGTACTGATTTGTAACAAGCAGGTTACAAAACTTTTGGTATTCATAAATGTTGTTTTACACATTTACCTCTTCACTCATTGCCAGAGATGAAAGGGAGTCTCATGTACTGGTCATTTTGCTGGAAGTTCAACAATCTGGTGATGTATTCATTCAAAAATTAAGCACCCAGGGATTTTTGATCCTAATGGCCTTACAATGATTTAGGCATGTACGGCTCCCTATCACCAGGGAAAAAAGACACAGTCACTTTAAGTAAATTATTTTGAAAAGGGATGTATTTGCTTCTTCTTTGATTTGTGGACTGCCCTGTTGACTGACCTTCATAGAGATCAACATTTCACATTTGTTGCTCTGAGTGATCCTAGAGCTATCCAGCTGCATGTGGACAGTCTGAAACACAAGCGTAGATTTCATGCCGACAACCAAACTCTGTTTTTGGGTCAGGGTCAGACTATATAGATGACTTGCTAATAAAATGTAGCTAAGAAATTGTAGATAATTATATAGAAAAAGGCAATAATTGGGTTAATGCCACACTTTTTTTTTTACCACAACTGGCAAGCAACAAAAACTGTTAGCCCTCTTATTTTTTGGGGCAGCAGTAGCTCCACAGGTTGAGCGGGTTGTCCAGTAATCGGAAGGTTGCAGGTTCGATCCCGGCTCCGGACAGAGAATTCTACTGTTGTATCCTTAGGCAAGACAGTTAACCCACGTTGCCTGCTGGTGGTGGTCGGAGGGACCGGTGGCGCCTGTGCTCGGCAGCCTCGCCTCTGTCAGTGCACCCCAGGGCAGCTGTGGCTACATCGTAGCTCATCACCACCAGGGTGTAAATGTGTGTGTGAATGGATGAATGATACACTGTAGTGTAAAGCTCTTTGGAGTCCTTACTCTGAGAGGAGCTATACAAGTGCGGGTCATTTATCATTTATTACCTGAAATGGCACAAAAACACCTGAAAACAAATATCTAATCAATTAACTGAATGATAAAAAGGTATAATAAACCCAAGAGTATGTCTTAAAGTAGATGATACCAATGCAAAGGTCTTCTAATATACAGTCAACAGAAATAAATACATAAAAGGAAAAAATAAAACATCCACAAAGGGGTTTGAATACCTTATTGATGGTTGTTTGAGTTGACATAAAGTGTTGATTTGAGAACAAGCTCGCACATTTGTGAAAGAGTTTTTAATAGATATAGTTTTAAGTGAGGGAGATAAACTTACATGAAGGAAACGGTGAAGTGGAACCTCTGCCGCAGGCCTCTGAAGGTAACAAAGGAATGTCCAGGGAAGCTACGAGTGGTCATCTCACAGTAGGGCTTCTCGTACTCCCCTGGTGGACACTGGCACATAAAGCCACCTGCAAGACGGTTGACGCACTTCCCACCATTCTTACACACACCAGGCACACAATGGTCCGAAGATGCGCTCAGCTCACAGTGGTCACCTATGGTGAAGAAGTAAAATTGTTTTAGCAGTGAAGCTATACGACACCACTGTCATCTGTGTGTCTGAGCTGTGATATTCAATGCAATTCAGCGTGGATGATAAATTACTATAGTGTCATCTCCAATAAAATAACATGTCATTTTTCCTGTGAAGCATGTTGGCCACTGTTGATTGAAATCCCAATGTGATGTAATGTGTTTGGAATTTGTTTGTTTTAACAAGATCAGTCAAGCTCATTTAGTTGTGCTAAAGTCTGGGGCTTCGTCAGCTGGAGCTCCAGATGAATCATGACTCTCTTTGGATCTTCTAAAATTTAAACTTGAAAAATACTGACCGACAATCTCCTAAATGGTCTTATTGAAAGGGATGAAGAAAGAAAAAAGAACAGCAAAATGAACAGAATTTCTCCTTTAAAACGATAGTTCAGAATTTGAACTATAGGTTTCTGCAGGAAGGTTATGAACAACTAATGTATTTCCTGTTGCAGATAAACTACATTTAAATATACTTGTTGAGTTATTTCAGACTGGCGAGCTAACAGCTAGTCAGAGCCAGGCTAAACCCAAGACAGACCATTGCCACCTAAATCCAGGTTAGTCTCAGAACTGAGTTTTATGACTGCTGTTTTATAGTTTATTTTACCTCTGTCAAATGAATTATAACAATACAAGAAGAGTTCCAGCTGCACCAAAAGCGCTACAGCTAGCTGCTGCTAACTGTGTTTGCAAAGAATCATTGGGAGCCTAGGTCTCCTCCCCTTTGGGTCGGCTCATTGCTCCCAAGAACCAAGAAAAAATTAGCATAAGTGAATGGGGATACGAAAGCTATTTTCTAATCCATTTTGCCGTTTGCTCTGAATCTCACATACACTGAAAAATGTACTTGTTTCCAATATGTCTGCCACATAATTTGTGACGTCACCACATAATCTGTTCTCCCCCAGCCAAGCTGCCATTTACCACATGATCAGATTTAGTGTCTTTCTCCATGTTTAATGTTCCTTTTTTCATCCAGCAAAAAAAGTTCAAAGCCCGCTAAACTCACAGCCATTTTTCTCCTCTGCTCCGTGTATGGTTTGCAGGGGTGGACTGGCCTATCTGGGATTCTGGCACTGTCCCGGTGGGCCGCTTATCCAAGTGGGCGCACATTTGGCCAACGGTTCGTAAAAATGTCAGGGCTGAATTTTAGTCCCAGTCCACCCTTGCTGGTTAGATGATGTTAATTTGGTGAGACGAGCATCTGTAGTGTGATACACCTTTTTACACAAAACCTAAAATAACTTTTGCTTCCTGTTGAAAATAAGCTTTTTCTTGGCATCAAAATGAGTCTTTAAAATTCACAAACATCATATGCTAAGTCCAGGGCACATAACTGGATCAGAAAATAACTTATCTGCTCAGAGATTACTATTCATTTTTCTGGCAGTGGATGACCCATGGTCTGGAATGGGCTCCCTATGTCCTATATAAATGTAAGGCTTCTTGAAAGCGGCGTTTACACGAAACACTGGGGGACGTAGCTTTGATCTAATCTCACTTTAACATACAGTGTGTCTAACATTTTCCCTGTGTATGGGGGAAGAAACCCTACACTCTTTATGATAGACCTGGAGCTGGTTAGAATAATTATAACTTTAAAATCTATTACACAACATTAGCTAATCAACTTTCCTTACAACTAAGAGTCCCATCGTAGAGAATTCCTCTTTAATAGCTATGCTGATGTAGCTTTGCTCCAAACCAGCTAACTGAGCCAAACTTCCGGACTCTAATTTAAATTCCTCAGGCTTCTTTCTGACAGAAATATCATGAACTACAGGTGCCCCCTTGTCTCAAGCAGAGTGTTGACCTGCTATCCAGACAACATCCTTCCATCCAGGACACACATACAGACCCCCAGCATTACAGCTTGGAACCAGCTAATGGCCCTTCTCTCTTCAACGTAATCCCTTTTTCCGAGGGGGAATTATGAGGATCTGGTTCCCTGTAATGTCAGAAATCCAAGGAGGACAGAACAAGCCCACTGTCGCTGTCATCAGACCCGTAATGGACCCTGATGGGCTCCGACTATTAGAACTTGAACTGTGACCTTCAGAGACGGGACACTGAGATGTAAGGGGGGAGGGGGGGAGGGGGTAGTATGATGGTTAGTGGGGAAGATGGAGATGGAGACGAGAAGCCCTATGAGTGACAAAGTCAGGTAGAATCAGGTAATTACATCAGATAAGGCAGTGTTGAGAAAGAAGGATGGAAAAGAGACCTTCAGAGGCAGCATACAGTCAGCAATCGGATGTACATGGGGGAAGTTTGTGAGGAAGATCACTGACATCAGGGAAATATTTTACTAAATGCTTTCAGTGGGAATACTGCACTCTTCTGAGTATCCCCACAGTTTTTCTGTTATTCAATTGTTGAGATGCTTTGAAGGTAAACTGGTTAGTTATTATTTTCTCTCAATAAAATACTAATTTAACCTTCACTGTTCAGTACCAAAAATCTCAAACTCTGATGTCTGATATGTGTCAGTTCTGGAATAAACGACTAAACTAAAGACCCTTCAAGAAGATGTTTGAGTTGGGACCTTTTGTGTATTCTCAAGCACTCGGCAATTTATTTCAGAACAGAGGGAAGTAGTAGTTGTGACAAAGAGGTTGGAAAATACAGCCAAATTAGTTTGGTTAAAACAAAGTCATCAACTCAATTATTTTGACCTTTTCATTAAAAACTATTATTTTGTAAAGAAAATAAAGCATTCCTTTGCAAAAACAGATAAAAGCCATTTTGATCAAAATCAAGAGAGGTAAATAAAATAAAGTTTTTAAAGTATAAAAACCTAGTTATTTGTTTCTGAAAAATAAATCAGTTCATGGCTCAACAACAGGTTTAAAGTCGAGTTAACCTAGCTGTTAAGAGAAATCTCCCTATTTGGTGAAAATCTAGTTTTAGAATATTGTGCTACATACTCGATTTATTATATAATGTCCACTTGGCATTTCTATGTGCTAGAATTGATGATGTGAACAAATAAGGTAAACTGTCATTGTACAAAAGTGACATGCTAAATGTGTCTGTTGACATTAGCGTTGCATCTGTTGAAAACTCTGTCTACAAACATTTTTACAATCATTGTGTCATCAAATAACTAATTGCAGCTTAATGGAAATTGTAACAGTAGTTGTAGCAGTAATGTAAAGACTACTTTAATCAACTAAAGTCATTTTTAGTAAGATAGACACATTTTTAATTAGAGGGGTAGGGACCTCCTCTGCAGCCAACCACTAGAGGGTGATTGTTTTGTTTTCACTTAAAATTCTGCATTTCTAACCAGCAGCAAAGGATTGCTGCTGGTTAGAATGATAAATGGCCGTATTTATATAGTGTCTTCTAGGGATCTACAACTCCCCAAGGAGCTTTACAACACAACATGCGCGAACACACACACACGCACGCACGCACGCACGCACACACACACACACACACACACACACACACTCTCTCTCTCTAAGATGGTTAAGATCAGGTGTTTATTTAGTTAGGCTTAAGTGTAGCCAGTGCTGACTTGGTAAACTATCCCCTGGTACTTGTATTAAGGCATTTAAAGATCTGTCCTAGTTGGGTTGGGATAATCCTAATCTCTTCAGTTCTTAGTGGCTAACTATTGTCAGCTACCTACAGAAAACTGAGAATATAAGCCTCTTTAGCAGCTGGCTGAATTAGCTAAATTTCAGTTAAGAGTAAGGAATCTGAAGATAATGCTATTAAATTGTATGTGCATTAATTACAGGGTTGAAGGCCCTTCCAACTACCTCTCTACTGTAATAAATCTTTCATAACGCAAGTCTGCAGGTGGCTGGGCTTGAAGGGTTACAAAACACGTTTTCCATTCCTGTACTGGAGCCAGTTTCAAGCACCAGGTGACGACATTCATTACCCACATCAGTGCAGTTTAGCAGTTTACACCACTGTCAGGAACAAAATGAATTTGTTAAGGAAAATAAAATATTTCATTCGAAAACTCACCTGTAAATTCCTCTAGGCACTCACAGGTGTATCCCCCCTCTCGGCTCCGGCACCTCCCGTTGTTCTTGCAAGGCCCCGAGTAGCAAAGGTCGATTTCTGTCTCACAGTAGGTACCGGTAAAACCCAGCGGACAGCGGCACCGGAGCCCGTTGATGGGGTGGATAGGCCGAAACAGAACCGTGTCAGAGGCAATGAAGGGAGGCGAACTGTCAAACTTTAGCACTGACACACACTTCATGTAGTTCTCACAGGGCTCCCGTAAGCAGATGTTATCATCAAAAGGTAATACCTGGAGAGAAGGGGACATTTTATTTATAGTAATATCACACTAACATAGCTAGTTCAGGTTTTCCATCGGGCATTACCTCCTGAGAGGATATCAGCCGGAGCAGCGTCCTGTTCAGGTAGATCTGCTCCTGCAGCTCCTCTGAAGGGAAAAATGTTCCTTTGTTTGCAGCACCTCCAGGCTGCAGTGCTGAAAAAGTCACATTAAGGATTGAGCCTTGCACATCGGTGTCGTTCTGGATGTTGAACACAAACACTGCTTCTCGCTTGGTGGACAGCACTGCCGCCACGCCTTCGAGAAAGAGGCTGAGCAGGGGGGAGAGGAAGCGCTCCTGGGACATGTTCTCCAGACGTACAGTGATGCTGTTGGTCAACATGTCGTCAGTGATGATGGTTACACGAAGCATGCAGAGGGCGACAACACGATGGATACCATCTGGAAAAAAGAGAACAAGAATGTAAGTGCCATACACTTTGAATTTGCGGTGGGTTTCCCGGGCTCGCTATGGTATGGACGATACAATACGGCTTTAAACTTTTTTTTGTTCAGCTGAAGTTTACCGCCTGGTTTCACAGTCTTTATTGTGCAAAAGTATCTGTAACCGAGTTCCAGACCTGTCAGATCATCAACAAGAACTCACCATAAAGCTCACATACCACTCCCTCCTTCCCTCCAGGTCTGAAGGTACATCCATTTATCAACGTCAAAACAATACAAACACAGGCAGAGTATGCTTCTGATAAATAAGACACTGCTTGATGACTCAACAAACCATACAAATGGTTGAAAGGCCAGTCTGACCTACCAAAAGATAAATAAAGAAGCTTAATATAAATAATCCGTAAAGCATAGCACATTCATATACTCAAATAGGTCAAAGGGCTCTAGCATTTTAAGAAAATGAATCCCATTTCTCTTTCTTTGCTAACAATGGTGCCTCTCCGTTACTTGGCATGGCTTCTACTCTTTGTTCCTGTTTCATTTTTCCTATCAAACAGTACCCTCACATTATTGACAGCGGGAAACAACAAAAATACATCAGTTATTTCAACACTGGACTTAAAAAAAGCATTCAATAAAATCAAATGAGTAGAATAACTAATGCTCTTTTCACGTTTATGTTTATTTATTTGGCAGACGCTTCTATCCGAGGCGACATACAACTGTGAATCTATAGGTCATGTTGTGATCTGCTGGGAAAACCGGAGTACCCGGAGGAAACCCACGCATGCATGGGGAGAACATGCAGCTCCACGCAGGAAGGCCGCAGCCAGGTTTCAAACGTGCAACCTTCTTGCTGCAAGGCAACATATTTTAGTGATACCTTGGCTTAAAGGCTAAATTCACTTGTTTTTTCAACACATTTGCAGTTGTCTCTAGAATGAATGAAAGCCACGTGAGTCAATTTCTGTGGGAAAAAAGCTCTCATGCTTCTGGTTCAGGAACTAGAAGTGATCAAGATCAGAGTTGAGCTTCAGGTGGCAGGATTTGTAGTCTTATTTCCTAATATTCTGACATCTTGCCCCTGATTGGCTAACAGCAATGTGACTCTGACTCAGTTTGCTTTGCAACATCAATGTTTTACCTCCACAAATAACACAAGCCTGAAGGAGTTCTGCCTAGTTGTGCAGTTGCTAATGCTAATGGTTAGCTTCTACTAGTCAATGCACACTCTGCTTTTTCCTGGCCAATAGATCAGCAACAGCCTTCCCTGACAACAGCCTTGCCAAGATGGGTGAGTCCATGAATGTTAATTTGACATCACGATGTGCAAATATCACTGGCTTTTCTAATTTGAGCGTTTTCCCATTTATTTCCCATCGGCGACTAATGCAGGAAACGGGTAGATTATTTTCACATTAAGCCTGGAGGTTGAACTTAGGGTGACTGATCACATTTCAAAAAGACTGAGTGAAAAACAATTTCTCATTGAACTTGGCCTTTATTTTATTCAGCTAAACTTGATTACTGGATTATTACAATTTTTTACAGAATTAAGTATGATGTGATTTTACTCAGGCTTTAACCCACTCAATTTAACATAATTAGATCTGAAATTTTTCGGATCTTTTCCAAAACCTCCTATAACTTCAGAGGGAGTGAGAAGTTTAGATGATAAACTTACAGCAAACAACTGGCTTGAATCTGAACCTGATATTACTTAGACTTGTTGATTTTTGTATAGTGCTATCAGATGACGTGTTTTGAACTGGCACAGTTAGATTAAACAGAACTGAACTGAAAGTGAAATACAGCTGAAGACAGGTGGTGAGGCCAGATGAAACCCACAGAGGCCGATAATACTGTTGAAGTGACCCAGAGACATGGGTCAGATTGCACAGCTTTGCCGCACCAAACCAAGCACTTGAGTGTGTCATACATGTGAGTTCCTGTGTGTGTGATGGTGGCGTTTGGAGCTCTAAGAGTGAAGGGTCACATTGAAGCTTTGCCACAGGTGCCCTGTCACTGTCGTAGAGGAGATCATTTCTCAAAAAGTCGCACACAAAAAACAGAGACACTCGGTCTGTAAGGGCAGAGCGTGGACAGGACAGTCAATCATTTAGCCTGCAGCGAACCACTAACTCATCTCAGGGTCAACTCCAGTCACCGTAAGATGAATGACAATGTGAACCAACATGAAAGAAAATGAGATTCATATTGAGGTAAAAGACATGAACGATCCGTGCATATATATTAAAAAGTCACTCTGAGAGATTGTGGCGTTAAGCAGCAGCTGTGATATACTGACCTCCAGTAATGTGGTGAAATCTAGGTGCTCATTCACAACTGTGCTAACAGACTGAGTATCTGCAAGCCACAAAGTTCTCCACACCTGTCTCTCCCTGTGTGTCTGGGAACACAACCTTATCCCACTTGCCGCCAGAGATCCATCACCTGGCTCTCTTTAAGACACACACATCCTGCATGGACCCCATTAAACTGTGTACACAGTCATGATTTAGGAAACAACGCTCTACCTTGATGGCTCGGGGTTTCACACGCTTATGGACACATCCGCTCTCTGCCAAGTCACACATATACCAACATCTTCAAATTACAGCCAAGTAGGTCCTGACACAATCTGTTACCAGAGTGGTGAGCCAGAACACATTTGCACCCTTTAATTCACATGTAAGCCTTCTCCTTTCATAGCCTCACCCTTTAACTGTTAGTGTAAATCTGCACAAGTTAATTCAGAGGTCAGAGGAAGGTGTGTATCGGCCAGTTCTTCTTCTTTTTTTGGTATTGGAATGTATTTTACATGATACGTCTGTGTTTTTCTTCTCTTTCCAGAGAATCCCAGCCGACTCTATTTATAGGGCCCACCAGCTGTTAGCGTTGGGGCAAACGGACACGGAAAGGATGAGCTGAACTCTGGAAAGGGTGTGTCAAGGGTAGACAACATGGAAAATAATGTTCTGTGAGTTCAAACATGTCACCACACACACAGACACAAACACCAAAAACAGGCATGCACAAACAGATATACATGGTTTAACTTCATGTAAATGGATAGAACTCTTGGTAAAATCCAGTCAGAGGTTACTAGATCTAGAGTTCTTCATTCAACTATGAGCATCGTGTTATCCCAGGTAGCTGATGAAATACCAGTCCACTGGTCACCCCCGGTAATGAAGACGATTGGTGAGTCCCAGTTTACTCCTTCCCTCTGCTTCCCTCTCCCACATTGCCTCTAGGTTTTTAATACACGCTGAAGATTAGGGTGAAAAGGGTGAAAGGGTGAAAAGTTAGTGCTACTGCGTACTTTAAGAATGCTGTAATCCACCCACTTCTTAAAAAACTGAGTCTTGACCCCTCTCTCCATTGCAGCTTCAGATCCATCTCTAATCACCAAGATCTTGGAAAAAGTTGTGGCTAAACAGCTCACAGCTTCTGAGCGCTCATTTTCTGTGGCCGTCTCCAAGTTTAGGTCCTCCACCACCACCCTTACCTATGGTGTCCCTCAAGGTTCTGTGCTGGGGCCTCTGCTCTTCCTCTTCTATCTGCTTCCTCTTCAGCACATCCTGAACTCCTTCAAAGGCATCTCCTATTATCTTTAAGCAGATGACATCCAGCTGTACATCTCCTTTAAGCTCCATGAGATTTCTAAGCTGCAGCTGTTACACACCTGCTTAGACTCTATCAAAACCTGGATGGCTGGGAGCTTTCTACAGCTGAACGAAGATAAGACTGAGATCCTCATCTGTGCCCCAGACAAGCTGGTTCCCAAAGTCAGAGACTCTCTTGGTCAGCTTGCTTCTCACACCAAACCCTCTGTCAGGAATCTTGGTGTGACCTTTGACCCAGCTCTCACCCTGGATTATCATGTCAGTTCTCTTGTTCGCTTTTCCTTCTTCCATCTCAGCAACATTGCAAAGCTGAATCCCATTCTGTCCCGCTCTGAACTTGAGACAGTTCTCCACACCTTCATCTCCTCACGCTTAGACTACTGTAACTCTCTTTTCACGTGTCTGAGCAGAACCTCTCTGAACCGTCTACAGGTGGTTCAGAATGCCTGTGCTCGGCTTCTGACCAAGTCCTCCAAACACACCCACATCACCCCGCTTCTCCTCCAGCTTCACTGGCTGCCAGTCATCTTCAGTGTTTATTTCAAGATCCTGGTTCTGGTCTATAGGGCCTTACATGGACAAGCACCATCTTACATTGATGCTCCTCTCAGTCCCTACACCCCCAGCAGGTCCCTGAGGTCCAGTGACCAAAGCCTACTGGTTGTGCAGCGCACCAGGCTAAAGACCAAAGGTGACAGATCATTTGCTGCTGTGGACCCCAGACTCTGGAACTCTATCCCCCTGAGCCTGAGATGAGTGGACTCAGTGGTCTCCTTTAAAAAGCAGCTGAAAACTCACCTGTTCAGGCTGGTTTTGTGTGACCTTCATCACCACCTTCTCATTCTTCTCTCCCTACTTCACCTTCCTCAGGATCCACTGATTTCCCTCTTTCCTATCAACTCTCTCTCTTTCTTTACATTTTTAATCACAATTGTCAATTTTTGCTTATTTTAAACATATTTTTAATCATTTTCTTAATTATTTTGTTTTTGTGAAGCGCCTCGTGATTTTTTATCTTGAGGCGCTATAGAAAAGATCCTTTCTTCTTCTTCTTCTTCTTCTTCTTCTAATCCAGGGATTCCCAAAGCGCGAGGTGAAAAGTGTAATGGCTGCGGAGCTCAGAGAAGTCTGTCAAAAGTCACCATTAGCGTAGCCAGAAACTCATTTGTGGGTGGGCCTACGAAAATGTAAGTGGGCCCAATAAACGTAATTGAAAACAAGTATATTTTGCTTGTGTGTGTGTGTGTGTGTGTGTGTGTGTGTGTGTGTGTGTGTGTGTGTGTGTGTGTGTGTGTGTGTGTGTGTGTGTGTGTGTGTGTGTGTGTGTGTGTGTCCTCCGCACATGCCCTATAGCTCAGGGGTCGG